CAACATAAAATCCAGGCCCAGAATATCTTATCGACTGCTTCCAATCACCTTACAACTCAACATAATGCATGCGTTGTCGAGTTACCCTAGCTAATGATCAATGGACGTCAATCAGCATTAAAAGACTAGATAAACTAGATGGTGGTTGCGACTCATTGATCAGCCCAATGGTAGATAATAGGTAAACATTAACTCTACAGTGACAGAAATGTTAGGTATGAATTTTTAAAAATCATTGATGAACATTATAATGATAATTAAATCTAAGTAATTATTCTAATAAGAACCACAATAAAACATTTAAAAATTATAAACGTACATAGAATTTATGCAGACATTCAACAATAGATTCCTTTTCCAACTTGATTCTTCTATTTTATCGAAATAAGAAATCCCATGCGAAATTTCACTGCTGTATTATGAAATGTTGATGCACAGCCGATGGTTCTTGACTAATAAATACTAGAACCATATAAATCTGTACGCATACATCTTCATGAATATATATATATAATGGGATTAATAAGAATTATGATGATTTTTCATTTTCATGATTTATTATTTCCGGTAGGATTTCAGTTTAAAAACTAAGCTTGACCACCTTGGAAAAAAAAACAGTGAAAGTTGCTTATTTTTCTCTCTCTCTCTAACATCAGCCCTGTCAATGGTCATTTTCTGAAAATTGAAGGCAGTAATACTAAACCTAGTTAAATCTTAACACGCTTATATAATTTTTCTGATTTTGTAACAAAAAAAAATTCATTCACGTACATCATTTTCAGTGTGGTAGTTCAGGATGAACGTAATTAAATTGAAGTTCACATTCCCTATATATGAACGTTTATAAACCTTTGTGACAAAGATTTTTTTAAACTACAGAAACATATAGATAACTGCATTTTTGATCTAAATTTTCAAAAAAACTGGTTACTGTAATGTGTTTTTAAATGTTTTTGTGAACACCATATGCTATGTGTACAGTTAGTATTGAGAGCAATATCTTTTTTATATTGTAAAACAGTTGCAGTGTTTCATGATCTGCCTAGTGAATGTTCACATTTATCATAACAGACATTGATTTTAAAACATAAGATTTTTCATTAAACTACACAAATACTATCTGACAAAGATTAGGAGTTGTTAAAGTAGTTGAATAGTTTTCACAAGAATTTGAATCAATAGCATACGTGATTAAAAATGTCCGTGTTAATTAGGTGATTAAAAGAAATGCAAACTTTTCCAAGTAAAATAGTAACAGCAGTTTAGCTTGAAATAGAAATAATTATAATTTACTAATTCTGTAAAATCAGTTGATCGGGTAAATTTAATTTAATTCTGCTTAGCGTCACAAAACTGCAGTAGATGTCTAGATTTAAGAATGTATATAAGGACATTAATTCAAAATTCAAGAGATTTTTAGGTAATTAAAATATTTTTTAATGAGTTATCTGATTCAAGTCTGCATAAACTTTGTAGTTAATTCGAGCTAATTTCATCCTGTCTTTGATAATTTCTGACTTGATCATAACTTTGTAACATATACACCAATCAACATGTAATTTAGTCAAGAGGAATGGTATTAAATTTCATTTTTTTTTGCATATTAGAATGGCTAACTAAATGTTCTTACATCAGTTACAGTAATGATGTTATTTTAAACATCTTTCATACTTTCAATAATGAAGTTTACTAAATTTCAGTCATTATATATTAATGGTGAATTAGTTTAATTTTTAAACAAATCTAAAAGTATGAATTCTAGATAATAAAAAGATATACAAGAACAAAATAAAGCTTTAGAGAATGATCAATTTTTAATCGAGTAATACAGACAAAATAACTTAACACATTAAAACCATTTTAATACGCATACTTTTATTCAAATGAATATTGGCTGTGCAATCCAAAATACCAATGAAGAATTCACGAATAAACCACCCATCTCGGAGAAAGCGACAAAGGAATTTAAATATTTCATAGCCTAAAAAGTCTTGGAGTTTGTTCATATCCTAAATCATGTTCCGGAGTATTTGTTAGTTGTTTACAAATTCTCATAGGTGGTCAACTTTAATGTTGCAGAAACTGTACTACTATTTGTCATAGGACTATTCATGTGAGAATGTTGATTATTGAAAGCTTTAACTGTCGTTTTAAAAATCAATGGAAGTTGCATTATTCTTTTATTACTGTACAGTACTACAATAGGATGTTTAAATATTAATGCCAACATAGCAGATATATCTTACTGGAGGTGATAGGCAGTACTTTATTTGCTCTATGCAAACTTTACTTAAAAACAGGAAGTATCACATAGATATAATGTTATAAAAATGATTTTTTTTCAGTCATGATATATATCTTGAATATTTAAACAAAATGTTCATATTATCAACTAAAATAAAGTTTTCTTACTTTTTAAACATATGGTCTACAGTCAGTTTCTCATCGCTTTCTCATAGGAATAATGAGAATAGATGGTTTTAATAGTCAGCTCATTAGAAAATAGGAAAGTTTCACACATATATACATATAAACCACATACCGAGCTATAAATAAATTTCTCCCATGTATACACAGAAATAACTAAAGCGTTAACGTTTTAGCCAATTAACGTAGACCCCTGTTGGAAGAATAAACAATTACTTTGTTCCTAACCTATAATAAGTTTTTATATATTTATATAGCCATATACGTACATTCAAAGAGCATTGAAATTTTTACTTGTTTGTGTGTACAGTTATGCAGGTAAATATCGGTGAACATACTAACAAAAGGCATACAATGCAGCTCAAATTTATTCTATCAATCCCAGTTGCATATTTCAATGATCCAACCAAAACAACAGTTACAAAAAAGAAAAAAAACAAACAATCACCACTAAACTGATCATCACATCAAATTACAAAGATTCTTAACGAGTATAATAATCAGTATTCCTTTTAATATTTGGAGTGAAAATAAAAACACAAACAAGGGATTCAAGTAATTTTTGGTGTATTTTTGTTTATGTATGTGAATGATACAGCGAATTCGCACTTTCATTGAAATGAACTGAGAAATAAAGCCTATTTCAGAAATAAATAACAAAAAAATGCATCATTTAAAATTAAATAAATCATTCACTATTTAGATTGAAAAAGCAATTAGGAAGATTTGACTAAAAATAGATACTCGAGAAATGAACCAACGATGATGAATTTATCGAGTTAATCGGTTGTTTATAGTTGATCTCATTTTTTTTCCTGTGGTATTTGATTCCTTGATGTTTAGGATTGTCATTTAGCTGCTTTTTTTAAAAAAACTCGGTTATGAATTTTCAATATTGAGTCAGTAGATAAAAGAATCGAAAGTATATATATATATATATATTTGTAAGTAACTTTGTTCTATGCTTACACGTACATCTTAAAGTCAATATAGTTGTATTCTATTAAAACAGTTGTTCTTTTAGATTTCAGCTAGAAAAAAAAAAGAAAGAATGTTTCTCTATATAAATAAGTTCTTTTGTAGGTAATTTGTGATTGCAGTTCAATGTTCACATATATTTAAAAGGCATTTGAATAAATGACTAAATTCAATAATTGTATGATCATATCATTGGAAAGTGAATAGATTACTTTCGATTCTTCGTCTCAGTATGTTATGTATTTACTTGTTGTTGAGATTAGTTAGATAAGTTGAAATGAAAGGTCAACTTACGTAATTGATGAATATGTAGCAAAAGTCTTTGTGAATACATCAAGTGTTTAGTTTTATACAAACCAAATGTTTCCATACAATTTATTTAAAACTTTGGGAATACATCCATGAAATGAAAGATAAATGTTTTACATTACATCCGAATTTTCAGTTTCACATAATGAAGAGACATCTGTTTTGGTATTTATTGTCATGTTATATATACTTTGAACGAATTTTCTAAAAATTAAAATCGGACTGTTTAAATTTGGAAAACATTCTTGCCATTTTATTTGCTCATTAGACGACATTAAGAAAATAACAATCTTTTATTAATTCACGAAAGAAATAATGTTATTTGTGTTTATTTTACCGGTGTCCGAATTGATAGTATAACAAATGCATAGCTACCAAATAAACTAATCTGATATTAAACAAACAGATCAGTAAAACAGTTCAACAATATTTACATTTACAGCTAATAAAGTCTTTGAGTAAATTAACTTTCTAATCATTTCGTCATCACACAATAACTATTGAGAAACCAATGTGGTTTTTTATAACTTAAATCAAATAAAAATTGGGGATTAATCATTTTATTGTACAGTTGATCTAAAACACCAGTTAGAAAATGAACTCAGATCTAGTTATTGTATGTCTAAGCACCTTTGAAACAGTTTACAATTTAAGCAATGTGAAAGTCCTCGAGACAATGACTAATAACTTCTTATTACCTTGAGAACAGGATCACTGCTTGATGAATTATTTTTAAAACGTCCAATATCTGGCAAATATTAAAATAAGCCCTGCAAAAAGGAGCGATCGATACTTTTTGTTACACTTGAAAAATAAGACAAAAATAGCTGTCATTAGTGGTAAGGAAATCGACGTGCTAAATTTAAGCCCAAGCATTGTATTTTAAATTATGAAAATTTCGCATTCCAACCCTGATTACTTCTAACAGGAAGCTAAGTTGTCAATTCTGCTAAAACACACTAATTAAGATAGTTAGTCAGTAATATATATCTTGAAATGATAATCTTCAAGCATTGTTCAGTATACTTCATCCCGAAAGAATTATGGATATCTGAACATGGATCTCTGCAGTCACGTAAAATATTTGTTTGAAATCTTATTTGCTTGCTGTCTTTAATTTAAAATGCTAAATCTCAACACTGCTTATCTTAATATTTGAGAATGTTTTAAGAATCAACAATGGTTATATTCTATCAACTTGATAATTGTTTTTATCTTACTGGTAGGACAGTACAAGGCTCAATTTTGAAGCTTACTCAGTTTTTCATTGTCATTGCTAGACTTACCTGTCTTAAATGTTTACTAGCTTGTCGATGAGGATCTTTTACCAGTAAACAGAAATGATTAACAGCATTATTTCTATATTTTATTTCTTCGATTAAATTCGTTTTAATACTAACACTGAAGTAAGTAACAGAATAAATAGTTGACATTTTAGGTGAGTTTTACTAAATAGGTTATCATTTATCTGTATGTTGTAGACAAGGAAAAGTGGTTTATTTCGGTGCAGAACATTCATTTCAACCATGTAAGTGATAAGCTAAAAGTAATTTGATTTTAACTGAGGTTTTATTATGCAAAAGACATAAAGTGATAAAACTTCTTTATATGTCATGCAAATTAACATTTGAATAAAAAGTGGTGATATTGCTTTACTGAAAATTAACTTGATTTAATCAATTCTCAGCAAAAATCTGTGAACACAAAAGACAAAATAACAGAATAGCAAATATTAATCAAAACTATTCATGAAAACAATCATCCATAGAACTTTATTATGTTTACCGACTATTTCAGATACTCAAAAGTTAACCATGATTAGTCAGTAAGTCATTTTTACAATCAAAGAAACATTTAATGTTATCTTAATCAGACTATTTCATTGTATATAAGTAATTATAAAGATGTTGCCTTGAGAAAACACTGTGCAGGCTTATCAATCCTATAAATATTTAAAAATTAAAAAGTAACACTTCTTTGTGATGTAAATGATCACCGAATCGGTAAACTTGGCGATTCATACACATACATTTATTTACTCACTTCACATATTGGAACAATTTTGAAAATCAGTCTTCTTTAAATCGTTATATTTCTTGACTGGAAATAATAGATATTAATTAATGATTTTTGTTCTGCATAAAAGATAAAACTTGATTTAAGCCTTTTCTTTTTTTTTCTGAAAGTTTATATACATGTATAAGTGTGAAATGCAAAGTGATGATTCTGTTGTACTTTTATGCTGACTAAATAATTATTGTACATAAATTAGCCGAGGAAATAAATATTCTATTAGTTTTATATTGTTATTGTTTTATGTATAAATTATTTATATCTTGTCATTTTTATTACATAAAACACACTGGAAAACTTACGTGCGATAATATAGATTAGATTCTAACGGTATTATTATCTAGAATGTAAAATGGTTAGTGATTATGATGTTTTTTTATGTGCGTGTATGTATGTGAATGCCTATTTTTCTCTAATAACGATATAGCAGTGATTTTTATAAGTAATCATTATTATCATTAACAGTGAGATCATAGCTAATATTATGTTTATTATTACTAATATCAGTAATATTATTTTTGTTATTGCTGCTGCTATAAAACTATTGCTAATATTATTTCACTGATATTTGGCTTAGTCATTTGTCTAGTGTATTAATGTGTGGTATCAATATCCTATTACCAGTTGTTCGATTCACTTCCGAAACCAAGGGATGTAAATAAAATAATAAAACAAATTTACTAACGGAAATTACATATCCACTTGAATGTAGTGTTTTTGCCCTTTTTATTAGTTGTTTTTATGTTTTTTTTTAAATATTAAATACAACAGAGTATATATATATATATATATATATATATATATATATATATGATTTATCAAAAGATTCAAAATGCATAGGACCACAGAGATTGATTAATATGGTCAATCAATCTATTCTCATTAAGCATAGCGAATAGGCTGACAGGAGTGAAAGGAATAAACTTTTTCCGAAATGAATGATAACATAAAAAATAATGAATACTACTACTACTACTACTACTACTACAAAGATTTTAGTATTCAACACTACGTACTATTTTGATGCATTTTTGCAGTGGTTTAAGGAAGTCGAAAGACAACAGTATCAAAACAGTGCGTAGACCATCAGAAAAAAAATCAAATTACTCGTGTGACTTAGGCTGTAAATATGAAACATCGTGAAACTTTATGTACCCATTAGATCTTCGATAGTTTACACTGTAATTTCTCAAAAAACTTTTAACTAAGTGTAGTATTTTACATTGATCAGATTTTAGACTAAATAATAAGACAGATATGAAGTATTCTTTTGATAAGTTCTAAGGAAGTAGCACTTTTAGCATGTTCCAAGGAACATTTGATTTTCTGATCAAACATTCACTTTTTTCTCAGTCTACGTATAAGCTTTTTGCAAGCGGAATCTAAACGTGCAATAATTTCTTAATTTTTCAGAAATTCCACGGATTTTAAATTAACACCGTGTTAAATACTTCGAAATCTATTATAGTATTCTATTTTAATCAATTTTTCGGGCATACATGTTTATGTGGGATTCCTGCACTCGATTATATTACATTTTTCCTAGCAGAGTTGTACTGAGCAGAGAAAATCTCATTGTATAATCAAAACTTGAACACATCATTAGTTTAAGGTGAACTGACAAGATTATTATTGTTGGTATAAAAATCTTTTTATTAAACTAATGACTTTCATCGAGTTTGAACTGTTAGGGAGTTATGTCCCTTAATTGAGTGAAATAAACTTATAACGAGATAATAATAATAAAGTTCCATAGCATGTTTATATCTAACATCAATATGATGGAATATTACTCTGTGAGTGCTTATGCTATCTTTCTAGAACAATAAATTTACAAACATATGCGATAGAATAAACATCATGAATTATTTAGTAATCATATGTTGATTTAAAAGCTTAATATATCATAGTTTTACTGTATGATATTGATGTTTGATTGAGTTTACGAACTATAGTAAGTTTGTAATGGACTGATACGTGAAAACAGATTTAAAGACAATTTTCATTGTTTAATGATGTGACAGATAGGACTGATAAAAATCATAAGCGGTATGATAGTTGTTAAAGTGAGTAGATGAACGATGGTTTGAACTTAGTTGATTCGCTCACAACAAATTTAAAATGGGAACGTCTTTTTTGGTGGCTAGGATTCTATTGTTGACAGAGTGATTTGTAATTTAATAATTTATATTTTCAAACTGCAGGTAATTAGTTATAGTCGGGAAAATGTTTCAGGTCACTTGTTATGATTAGAGCAGAACCATGGATTATTTTTAATAATCGATGGTTATTTAGAAATTAAGTTTGTTTTGAAATATGCAGTGAACGGATTTCATGTTCGACGTGACATGATGATTCAATCTGCTTTCATAAATTGTTGACAATATTGGTAATGCTTATATAATATTTCATTTATTTCACTCGTCAACTCTCAATCAATGAAGCAATCAAATTAGATCAGAAACCAAACCAATGAAACAATCATCAGTGCTGTAAGTTTTCAACAGATAAACTACGTTTGACATGCCAGTTTCACTGCAGACTACATTTGATAATTGACAGAAAGTACTCTTAAAAGCTAAAAGTCCAACAAACACAATGATGCTAAGCTATAATCTATTGTAAAAAGTTTAGGATTATTTACTTTTGTAATAATCTCCATTATGAAGGTCATAGTGGGACATTTATAAAACACGTAATTATAAGGCAGATGAAACATTCAAGTTTAAGTCGAGAAACTCTTTGGCTTTGTTATTAATCTTGACAGTTATGAACATTTGTGATTACTTTATCAAGGTTTATTAAGAATATTTATTACTTTAAATACAATCAAAAATGATATGTTATATAAGCTTTCTTCGAAGTACTTCTTTTTACAACTAGTCTATATATAACGATGTTTAGTGGACGATTCTATACTTGTTTCGCCATAAAATGATCTTATTTTCTTAGAATCTGTATATTATTCCAAGCAGCTAAGAAAAACATCCTAATCTACTAACAGGATTCATATTCAAACATCTTGTTGAAGGTTTACTCAATATGTCATCAGTTTGCGGTGATGATCTTGCCTAGATGTGACAATTTACACTTCAAGAATAAATCATCAATTCATTAACAGAAAAGTTGTAAATTAAATAGCCTAAGTTTATCGAAACCATAGAATTGTTAAAATACTTTGTCATCAGAACTTTTAATCTTGTCACTTTCAGTGTTGAAATGCAAATTAACCCCAAATTAATTAATTACACAATTTTGTTGTAAGTGCAATGTAGTGATGTTGCCAGCAGTTCATACGTCCAGTTAGGATTTGTTCATTTCATCGACATAATTATCAGTTATCTTGTTATCAGCAAAATACTGTTTATTAATTTCACTGTTTTCGATTCCCGCCATCATGGTCGTTTGACTATGGCTCCAATCTACCTTAGTATACTCTCTTGAACACTTTTGTACAACTCCACAAAAGCCGAGTTATTATCAATCCGATGATCTGTTTCAACTGCGTGTTTGGCAATAGAGGACTATGAAAATTTGTCATCTTCTGGCATGGATTTTTTTACCTCATTCGTTTTAGCAGCCATTTAGATACATGTTCAGAAACCCTAATTTGCAAATCACGAGTATTTCCCCCAATATACGTATATCCACACACATTTAGGTTGATAAACGTAATGAGATGTGATGTAATCGTTGGTTTGCTTTTTAGGCTTTCCATGAAGCATACACCTTGTTTCTTGTATGATAATGACCTCTGATGCGTAGTAAGTTGTACTGAAAATAGATTTAGGCCTTTGCTTCAATATAAGGCTATTCGATTCGCTACTGAATGTTAGATTGATAAAAACGGGCTATGTTTGCGCTAAAGATGTAAGAGATCTCACTACACTGTGACCTTCCCGTTGATTTATGGATTTTAAAGTGTAGCCGTTCTCCATTGACGTTTCTTTTACCGACTTCACTTCGTTTTTTAATAGGTAGATAATAAAACAATTAAAATTGTATGTTGACATTTAAATAGTGATATATGTTATGAGGTATACCTGTGGTGCGCGCTACTTATAAGTAGTATATGACGCGAGTAAAAACGTAATGTCTGGCAGCAGAAGATGGGGGAAGATCAAGAAAGGAAGAGCGGGAACACAATAGGATTTGTATGAAACGCATGAACAGTGAAATGTCAGACAACGGATTGATGTTTTGCAACAGGAACAGTCCAGTTCGATACGATGGATTGATTTTTGCAAATTAACGATTTACGATATGGTTTTCCTATTTTACTGAGTAACTCTGTAATTTGCGATAATACAATTCGGTTGCCCTAACCTGTGTTCTCCTTCACTACATACCGATCGTAATC